GCACTGCGGACACACCCCAATCGAGCAGCAGCGTCACGGGGTTGTGCTTTACGCTCTCCGCTGCAGCTCCGTCTCCGGGCGACGGGGCTCTCTTCCACATCTCCACGTGGCGGGGCGGACGTGCACTGCGATGGCGGCCGGCGTGCGGGCCATCATATTTATTTGAGGAAACGAGAAAACACGAGCAAAACGAAAAAAGAAAATGCGCGAGCAGCGTTTGGCAGGGTCGTGGTGTGCACATGGCCCGTCGACCCCGCACTCGCGAGACGCAGCACAGCGATAAGAATAGCATCGTGCAACTGTTGCGCTACTCCTCTCTTCGCTTCTGAAAAACGGACGATGAGTATATTTGTTTTCTTGTGCCTGCGATGCGTGGCTTAACGGACATTTGTGCGCTGGCGGAATGAATTTCTGCGCAACCGCGTGGTGGCGAGGTGGTCTGGAGGGAGGAGACGAGTCCCAGCACCGCATGCGCCCACGTGCGTCTTCTGACGCGGGCAGGCGATGGGAAGTCGCTGTGACCCAATGGGTGCGGGAGTGTCCGTGACTGCTGTGCAGAGGGCGGGGACGAGCACCCTCGATGCGGCGTTCCACGCAGACAGGCCTCTCTTGTATATTATTATTATTATTATTTATTTTTGGCTTCGGGGGAATGGCCGGGCCCTACGAGTGGGCGGCAAAACTGCCCAGCCGCGTCCTCTTTTCTCCGCCTATTGGTGTGGAGGTCGCGCACGGAGTGAGTTGCGGAGGCTCGCCCGACGTGATCCTTCTCGCCCGACGCGGGAGGCAACTGAAAGACGCACTCGGCACCTCCCTTTCGTCAGTCATGAATGGTTGTGGGGGTGAGGAGTCGTGCTGGGCTCGCCGTGGACCACGGAATGCATCCGTCGCAGCCATGGCGGCAGCAGGACGGGAGCACTAGGTGTCTTTATTTGTCTTCTCTGTCCTGTGCTAGAGAAGATTGAGTTGAACTGTTTTTGCTTTTTTCTCCTGCGACCTCTCTTCACTAAGTATGCGTGTCAATGCGTAGATGGGTGCTGGTATTTTTGAGTGCATGTGAGAAGGAATGCTAGCGAGAGGGCTGGCTGCCCAATTTAATATATTTCCTGGTAAACCGTGGGAGGTATTTCCGTGTGATCCTTTTCCTATCTTATGGTCCTTTGAAAGGCCCCGACGGAAGGAATCAAGGAACCGATAACGGCAAGACGAATTTTATTTATTTATTTTTATTTTTGCCATCCACCCTCTTTGATTCCGACCTTGCGGCGGGGTCTTGTGGCTGGAGGGCCCAAAGTCTTCCAACTCGTAAGCAATAAATATCCCCAATTCGAACACACCGCACCGTGGCACGAGGGTGGCTATCCGAACATATAGATGTGGTTGGGACAAACATTGAGGATGTGGCGAGGCCGCTGCCTCTCCATGGCCCTCTTCTTTCCCGTCCTGTTTTATTTATACGTATCAGTTCAGGATCCGGCCCGCAGCCCAGGCGAACATTTTTCCATGCTTCGGCTTTATTTGGAGGCTGTGTCTGTTTTTTGTTGTTGTGTGTGCGTGCGCTGCGGTAATTTGTGGTGCTGCCCCTCCTTCTCTCTTGTAGCTGCAGCGTCTCTTTCTCCCTCTGTTCCTCTTTCCTTCTGCTTCTCCTCCCGCAGACAAGGCCTGTGCTACCACTACCACCACTACCACTGCTGCTGCCCGCACCTCAGGAACAGACACATTGTACCGAAGCCATGCGCCAGCCACGCCACACCGCGCCGCCGCTGCCGTGGCTCATGATGGTGGTGTGTTGCGCCGGTGTTTGCGTTGCCGCCGATCGTGCAGTGAAGCACCGCTGTGGGTTTGACGCGATGATGAAGAAATACGGCCGGCTGCCAACCGCGGTGGTGCGTGAGGTGCCGCGCCGGGGACAGGGCGCCGTGCAGGCGTACACCGCCGCCAGCGAGGATGGGGACGATGGCTGGGCTCCGATCCGCATCAGGGTGTCCGCGGAGGACATGCACAATCCGTTGAGGCACTGCACTGCGGCGGGGGATCTGCGCATTGACCACGATGGCCGCGCAATAACATGTGAGGAGGACGACGTGTTGACGGAGGAGAGGAGGAGCATTATTTTGGGGCAAACTCTCCCCGCCGCAATTCAACTGCACGCGGAGCGTCTCTCCGTGAGGCCCGTGACGCGCCCCGTCCTCATTCTTCGAACCGGTCTGGGGATGTGCAATAACTTCACCATCCCACACAAGCACCACACGGTGGGTGTGGCTGGTGCCGACATGATTATCTACGCCAACGGTTTTCCGACTTCTGGTCCAAGCGCATGGGCGGGTCCGTGCTTCCTGCTGGATGATGGTCGTCCATTTGCTGCTGCCGTGAACTTTGACCCGAGGCGAGTAGCGGTAACATATGAAGACTTGCGTGTAGCGGCCCACGAGTTGGGGCATGCTCTTGGGTTTGTACGGGAGATGTTTTTGATGCTAAATATGATTTCCGAGGTGTTGAACGTGCGCGGGAGTTCCAAGGTGTCGGTGATTTCAACACCGAAGACGAAGGCAATGGCGCGTCAGTACCACAACTGCCCCACGCTTGAGGGCATTGAGCTGGAGGACGAGGGTGGTTATGGAACTGCACTGTCGCATTGGAAATCAAAAAGCGTGAGGGACGAGATGATGACCAGTATTGTGGAGGTTGCGCTGTACTCGGCACTGACGCTTGCAGCATTCGAGGACATGGGTGTTTATTTGGCAAACTACAGTGCGGCGGAGTTGTTGTGGTGGGGCAACAACTCTGGCTGTGGGCTGCTGGAAAAGAAGTGCTTGACCGACGGCATCAGCGAATACCCTGATCTGTTCTGCAACCAGTTTGACGTCTATGATGAAAGGCTTCTCTGCACGTACGACCGACTGTCTCTGGGGTCCTGTAAAATGAAGAGGCACGAGGAAGCGCTGCCAGAGGAGTATCGGTACTTCGCTGATCCCCGAGTTGGCGGTGATGACCTCTTCATGAGCAGATGTCCGTATGTCAGGGCGTATTCTAATGGTGGTTGCACCAACGGCGATCCTTCCCTAATGCCTGGCAGTGTTGTTGGTCCGAACTCGCGGTGCGTGAAGGGGCAGGAACTTCAATTCGACGACGAATATATTGGCGATGTGTGTGTGGACACTCGATGCGGCGACGGCACACTGAGCGTGCGGTTCCTTCGTGACGATGCGTGGCACGAGTGCCAGGAGGGTGAAACCGTCACGCCGTCATCGGGTCCGTGGCGTGGGAGCATTGTGTGCCCCCAATACGCCGATGTGTGCACCGCCTTCCCGAACATCAGCAGCCACCCAATACCGGTCGTTGACCCGCCTCTAGCGTACGACCCGACATCCGCGGAGGATGCGGAGGGAAACGAGGGTGAGGATGCTCGTGTGTCGGCGGCTTGCCTTTGTGTTTTTCACTTCCGTGGAGCGCCGGAACCTGCGCAGTCGTGAAGTAAAAAAAAAGCATCTCGTTGATCGTATCGTGGCGCGCCGTCGGCGGTCTCTGGTTCGGCCGGAGACATGCGTGCGCGTGCTCGTTGGGCTTGTCCACGCTACATATGAATCACGTGCTTTTATGTATGACGCGCGCAGGCAGCCGCTGAAAGAGTTGTGTGGTGAGTCTTCTTTTGCCTGCACATGTCCGTGGTCTGGCGATGGATCCGCCCGTCCCAGAGGCTGTGTTGGTCGTAAAAGCCCTGCAACGGGTACCTTGCAGGGCATTGTGCGGTTCCCACCGACGTTCCGCATCCATCTCGGCGATCGTGGTCTGTTGCGGCCCCTTCTCCCCGAGGCACGTGTAGGCGAACTCCGCGGTGCCCCACTGGTGTCGGAGACCGCAACCACGCTTCGCACCGGAAGAGCGACGACGCCCGCCGACTGAGAAGACGCCGTGCAGCCGGTGCAGGCCATAACTGAGCATGTGGCGCTTGCAACCCCCTGACCCCAGCACGGAGATGCTGCCGCCCAAGCGTGCGTATCAACCCAACATTCACCAGATAAATCTAAAAAAAAAAAAAAAAAAAAAAAAACGTAGAAAGCCATAAAGTATTGCCGTCGTACTTCACATCTTCCCGTTGAAACAGGTTCGGTAGAAGCAGAAGTGAAAACGTAAACAGACATCGCGGCACTCCTACCAATAACAAAAAAAAAAAAAAAAAGGCTAATGTTAAAAGGCTGTTTTCTCCCCCCACTCGTACACACAGGAAAAAAAAAAAAAAAAAAAAAAAACACTAATGCTCCAGCAGTTATTTTGGTGCGCATTAGAGTTGTTCGTGCGCATGCGTGTATGAAGTGCAAAGGCATGGCACAGCGTGGGGAAATAATACACACACACACATACAAAAAAAAAAAAAAAAAAAAAAGGCCTCAGCTTTATCTGCTACAGCCCCTCCGTGACCTGCGACCAAAGAAGAACGTTCTAGTACCATAAATACCAGAAGAAGAGGAATCATTCCCCCCCCCCCCCCCAAAAAAAAAAAAAAAAAAAAAAAAAAAAGAAAACATAGTAAATTCCCTGAAAGGTGTGGTGGTCCTGGGAGGCGATCAGGTTAAAAGAACACGCAAAAGTTGTTGGCATACATTTATAGCTTTAGAATCAGTGGTGTGGGAAGAAATCCATCGGAAAGCTGACTTCGGCAACATGAGTCAATTGAGCCAATTCATCCCCACTCCGTCAGACAAAATAAAATAAAAAAAAAAACAGTCCAAAGACGAGATATTTCTCACGGTTTAGAAGGCTCCTCCGCAACGCAGTCAATCGTCCTCCCCACTCCCAAAAAAACACCAAACTCTCCCATGAGAGAATGTCTGCTTTATAAAAGAAAAATTACACACATTTTTTGTTAGTGATATTAGTCTTTGGTAACAAAACGCCGCGTATAAAAAAATGCCACCTGACCACAAAGAAAGAGCTAAAGCCTCAGCAAGTAACTTTTTCCCTATACACTTCCGTTTACATTCCAACACTCTATGTGTCCCCTAACTTATTGATAGCAGCAAGAGCAGAGTCAACAGAAACAACGTATCGATTCGGGAGAAAATGCTGCCTCGTTCAGACGCATCCAACATCATCTTTTGGATGACCATTTCGTTGGCCATGCTCTCAGAGGTCGCCACAATCTTGCTTATGCCCAGAAAGAGTGTTTGAACCTCACTCGGTTCAATTCTGCGGTTATACAAGAGGACATGCGTCACCGTTATTTGAGAGTCCGTGCCTCTGTCGCTGGTTCCGTAACTACCAATAGAGAAGTGTGAGATTTCCATACTCTTCAACTGGACGCTTGTAAGCCGTTGCCCCGAGCCACGCAATGGTTCTCCATCAACGTAAATATAGCCGACGCCTTCCTCAAACGCAAGTACCACGTGGTATGTCTTGTTCAGCTCCCAAGATCCCGTTGGAGAAGAAGCCGCTCGCCCAAACGTTGGGACCCACCGCTGTTCCTTGTCGTACGACAGTCCCAGGAGTTTTCTGTAACCAGAACCATCCAGACTCGCACCCACCAATGGCCTGGTACTTCTCGGAACCTTGTGAATAGATACGAGGGCCACCAGCGTGAATCTGTGATTTGCAAAACGATACCGTTGATTCTGTCCCTGCTTTCCCACCGGCCACAGTGCCCCGGCATTCCTTCCTTCAAATTTAAAGCCCCGCGTCAAATTTGTTCCATGATTTATACTTGCGTTGACGCAGCGGTACGCATCCTCCCATACGTTTTGGGAGGCACTGTGGGACAAGAAACCAACAAGACCAGCCGTTGGGAAAGGGGGACCACAACCACGCTTGGACGACGAAGCGGCTGGATCAGCAGGGGTGCAAATGCTGGACAGGTAGCTGTCCCACGTCTTCCAGGACTGCAGCACGGATTTAATAATCATTAGCTCGCCAACCAGGCGCGCAAAAACAAGGCTGTACACCTCGTCCGTGTTGATCTCATGCAAACAGTACAGCTTATCATCCATGTACAACACGGAGCTGTAGGCGGCATTTTCATCACCAATGGATACTTGCCCAACGTTATAAATGCGCTGGTTATCCGTCAGCCAGAGGTTCAGTCGGTCGCGCAGCCACTTTCCCTTAAAATTCAGCGGGTGTGTGAAGAGCATCACACGCATTCCTTCGATGGTCACGGCAGTGAAGCTGCTCTGACTGCCGGGCTGGTCCGATTTTGGTGAGGGGCCCCACACACGTGAGAGCGTGCCGACAGCCTCCACCCACGTATTCCCCATGTCACTGGACTCGTACACCAGGCGGCGTGCCCGGTCAACTCGAGTGTTTATGATGAGCTTCCCCTCCCACTCAAGGGCCACAGGTTCAGAGCAGCCAAAAGCGCTCCTACCCTTCCCAAACTTCCACGTCTTGCCATCATCTTCCGAGTAGAAGATCTTGGAGAAAATTTGTCCCTTCACGTTCGTAACCTGCACAGGGTACACAAGATTCCCGTTGGACGCCAGAGTGGCAACACCCGCACCGCCAAGAAATTGCTTTGTGGGCACTCCTTCCATTTCCCGAGGGAAAAATTCCTTCACTGGGACGGGGCTCCCCCATTTGATACTCACAGTTGTATTGCCATCCACGGTGGACTTCGTGACCTCACCAACGGCAAGCAGAATATCCCAGTCGCTCGCATCACCATGCCACATCCAGTAGTTAGTTGATATATTGTAGCTTCCAACCAGGACGTAAAGCTTGTTGCCCTTCACAATCACTGTGGGATCCACCACACGCGAAAAAGACGATACACGACTGTTCTTGATGGCAATTTGGGTCTCCCACGTCTCCCCGCCGTCCACGCTGTACTTCGCCACCGTATCAATGAGGGAGTTGTCATTGGATGTGTCGTAGCGGGCGTCCGCGATGGCAACCATCACCCCGTCCACATTAACAAGAGCGGGGAGGCGGAACGAGTGGACAACCCGTTCGGTGACTTTACCGTTCTCTTCAAATGGCACCGTCGAATTTTGCCGCTTAAACAGCTCAACTCGGCTCGATCCGGGTGCCAGGGCGTCGGCAGGCGCACAGAAAGAAAAAAGCAAAAAAAACCCAAAAAGCAAATATAAGGGCATTTGCAAACACAAACACAATAAAGAAAAAAAACTCCCGCCAAGTAAACGCCGTAAATCAAAGAAAATACTCAAAGAAGACTACACTAGATGTCAATTGAACCTTACAAAAAAATAAATAAATAAAATAAGAAAAAAAAAAAGGTCAGGAACAGTAAAAACGATAATAATAACGCGTCAATAACACACTGTAAGACACAACCAAATAAACACCAAAAACAACAATATATAGGAACAAAAAAACACAATACACAAAAAGACTACTTCATATCAATCAAAAAAACACAATAACGCCCATCAAACAAAAAAAAAAAGGCGGGGGTGAGAAGACACACCCGCACACTCTAACGCTTTCACACGCACTCGACGGCGCTTCCGTCCCGGAGGGACAGCCCACATGGCTACGCGCGCTCGCCACGGAGGCAGAGGGCGAGGTGGATGTCCTTTGGCTGGATCGTCACGCGGCCGCTGTGGATGCACGCGCGGTTGGTATCGGCGAGAAGCGACACAACGTAAGACTCCGTCGCCTCCTGCGCCGCAAGAATCGCGCTGCTCTGGAAGCGCAGGCCCTCCTTCTGCGCACCCGACACCTCACGCACCAGGCGCTGGAAGGGCGCCTTCTGCAGAAGAAGGTCCGTGGAGCGCTGGAACTGGCGGATCTCGCGGAGCGCCACGGTGCCCGGGCGCCAGCGGCGCTGTGCGTGCTTCACGCCGGTGGCCGCACCAGGGGCCTTGGGGGCCTTCTTGCTCTTCTTGGAAGTGATGGTACGCTTGCTCCGCGCCGTCTCTTTCGACCTCGACATATCTCCTTTTATTCTTGTTGCTTGTTGTTCTTGTTGTTTTCTTTTTTTCGCTTGTTGATGTTTCAACGCAGGCTTCCTTGTTTGTGCCGCAAGACACACAACACAAAGAACACAGAAACAACAGAATGGGGGCGGCGAGAGCAGGTCGCGACACGGACACGCGCGCATCGCCGTGCATCCGCAGTGCGCATGTGCACCGTATGTGAACGCGTCAATTAGAGCACGTCTCAGCACGGCCCACGGAGACACACACAAACAACAAGTAAAAACAGCGGTGTGTAAAGAAAAAAAAAAGGGCCAATCTATGGCGCTGTGTGCAACTCCCAGGCACTACACGGCGGGGGCGTCAGCAACCGGTGACAACATCAGAAGCACCGGGCCGGCCCACGCACGCCGCGTGGCTTTTAGCGCGCGAGAAGCTGAAAATAATAAACAAAAAAAAAAAAAAAAAGAAAAGAGAGGCGGTGTAAAACAGAAAAAACCAATGAAGAGGGGGAAAAGTGAGTGGCGGAGAAAACCAAAAGGCGGGCGTGAGAAGACACACCCGCACACTCTAACGCTTTCACACGCACTCGACGGCGCTTCCGTCCCGGAGGGACAGCCCACATGGCTACGCGCGCTCGCCACGGAGGCAGAGGGCGAGGTGGATGTCCTTTGGCTGGATCGTCACGCGGCCGCTGTGGATGCACGCGCGGTTGGTATCGGCGAGAAGCGACACAACGTAAGACTCCGTCGCCTCCTGCGCCGCAAGAATCGCGCTGCTCTGGAAGCGCAGGCCCTCCTTCTGCGCACCCGACACCTCACGCACCAGGCGCTGGAAGGGCGCCTTCTGCAGAAGAAGGTCCGTGGAGCGCTGGAACTGGCGGATCTCGCGGAGCGCCACGGTGCCCGGGCGCCAGCGGCGCTGTGCGTGCTTCACGCCGGTGGCCGCACCAGGGGCCTTGGGGGCCTTCTTGCTCTTCTTGGAAGTGATGGTACGCTTGCTCCGCGCCGTCTCTTTCGACCTCGACATATCTCCTTTTATTCTTGTTGCTTGTTGTTCTTGTTGTTTTCTTTTTTTCGCTTGTTGATGTTTCAACGCAGGCTTCCTTGTTTGTGCG